TACCCGCCCCGACCCATTGCCATGCCTAGTTACTCCCTTCGTCCCGTAAAAAGTTCTTACTTTTCTTTTTTAATTTGAATATCCTATATAAAGATTATCATTTCCATTTAAGAAAACAATTAATAATAACCAAGCATTCCAGCCCAGCTGGTTGTGAGGTTACCGTGCCTAGTGGGAGGTCTCGAGTTCGAATCCCGCTAGGCACACAAGGGTTGGAAACTCAATGGATTGAATTTCAGCCCTGATTACTCTAGGCTCCCCCCAGCCCCCTCCCCCAGAAACCCTGGAGTTAAAAAAAAGAAAAGAAAAAAAAACAATTAATAATAATCTTAAATGACAATTTAATAATCAAATATTAAAAATAATTAACTGTTATGAATACTAAGCACATTATATTACACACCTAATAAAATTATTTCTCAAAATCTACTTGAATTACCTTATTTAATTATTGTCTAAATAAATAATTGTGTCGTTTTGTCATGAGAACTTTTCGACGAGGCAGATGTAGTAATTAGTAAGCATGTTACTTCACATGTAAATAATTAATTGATTCTATATATTAATTCCTTTAAAAAAGTTGGATCTCCCTCTTTAGGGTTTCGTTTCTCCACATTCGTCCCTAACGAAGTGCCACCGTGGTTGGGGCTGGTCTCCGCCTTCGGCCTTGACGAAGGGCGGACGGTGTAGGCGGTCGTCGGTCGGACAAGGAGGTCTTTTTCGTAGCAGGGGTTCGTGGCTATCACAGAGGTGGTCTCAATCGCGACTAATTGTAGGCGGAGCACAAGTTGGTTGCTTAGGTGGTAAGATTTAGCTCGGTCTGGTAGGAAGGATTTCAATGGAAGATATTGTTAATCAATACAAGAATATGGCTATTGGAGGGGATGGTGTCGAGTTGAACTTTGATGATGAGGAATCTGGAGAAGTCAAAGCGGACGAGAAGTGAGCGATTTTCCTGGTGGTCGACATTATTCTTACTGATAGGAAAATCAAGTTCCAGACCTTTAAAGAACTGATGGCTTCTTTGTGGCGACCATGCAAAGGTGTGTCAATAAAAGAAATAGGCGATAAAATGTACCTCTTTACTTTTTATCATATGGTGGATATGAGATGTGTATTAGAGGATGGTCCATGGCTGTTTGAAAGGAATTTGTTGCTTCTCAAAGAAGTCAGACCGGAGGATATCCTCTCATAATGAGCCTAAATGAGGTGGAACTTTGGGTACAAGTACATAATGTACCGTATGGTTTTATGAACTTAGGAACTGCTAGGAGGGTGGGTAATTATATTGAAAAATTTATTAGCTTTGATAAAAACCAGTTTAATTTGATGAAAAATGAGAAGCCTATATGCGTATTATCGTCTGCATGGATGTTGGAAAACCTCTGAAAAAGGATCAACCTTCAAGAAAGGGGTATTGGCCACATGGTAGGTTTCAAATATGGAAAACTACCTAACTTTTGCTTTATTTGTGGGATTATTGGTCATTCTGATAAATTCTGCCCTTTGAAACATGAGGATGTTTTAGTATTGGAAAAATCTTATGGGGTGGAGCTTAGAGCTAGTGGAGGGGGGAAGACTAGTCTACAGGATGAAACAAGATTGTGGAAAGCTCCTTAAGCACAAGAATGGGGATGCAACAGAAGAATGAGGGCCAAGAAGGAGAAGGCGCGGAAGGGCAGGGCAAGAGGGAGTCCATGACAGGCGCAGTCACTAGCATGACTAATGAAGGACTTAAGGAGCACTGAGGAAATTTCGGGGATAAAAAGCGCAGGAGGATCTGGGAGGAGTAAGAACAAGAGGACCCGACTGGTGATAATATGACAAATATGACACTGGACAAGCCAAAATATGGGGAGGTGGGGGTTCCGATCACCAAGCTCGCCGAGATATCTAAATCAATTCGGTTGGTCGAAGTGTGGATGGTGGTTGTGCTCTTGAAGATGGAGCAAGATTTTTATTTTATTGCTTTTCTGTCATTTAATTTTCAAGTTCATACTGTTTATTTCTCTGTTTGTTTTTCTTTTGTTGTAAGACTTTGGTATTAAGATTGGGTGATGGGAGGTCTGCGCTAACCGTCTTTGGCTCAAGTCTGCCCATTATAGGATCAATGAGTTATATTGCTTCTTTGAAGATGATTAACTCTAAATATGATTTGAGGGCTGACGGTTGCTTGTGGTGTGTTTGTTGTTTGAACCCCTATCTGAATGCTGTGATATCAATATAAGTCTCCTTCCAAAAAAATATCAGTTCCTTTATATTTACTTAATGCATTTATTTAATGTATATAATTAATTAGTTGACCTTATCACTCCACATGTTTATTGTTGAACATGTTGCATACTCATTAAAATTATCGGCTATATTACTACTAAATTGACAATACATACAAAATGATAGTTTTTAATTTTATTTAAAAAATAAAAACATAAATATATTCTATTTTAAAGTTCCACATTTAGGGTGGCGGCCGAACACCCCCTGAGTATCTGACAAGTAGGGGTTGTCATTTTTGCCAATTTCTTCTTCATGTGGTGCTTTCGTTTATACTTTAATAATTTCGATTTTTTATTTATTTCTGACATTAACGCCATCGAAAATGATATGTGACGAGCATGCTTCGTGAGTAGGTCCTCATTCTATGCACTAGATTTCTGAGTAGTTAAATCGTTACTCGTTAGCAAGTTAGTCAAGAGCCGAGTATCGAGTAGAACCTAGTACTCATAATTACTCGGCAACTACTCGGTCCTATATTAATTAATTTTAAAAATAAAAATATCCAAAATTATGGTAATATATTAATATTGTCGTCGTCATCGTCGTCATCATCATCATCATCATCATCATTCTTAGATGTGAAAGAAAATCTAATGAAGAAGAAAAAAGAAAGAAAGATAGAGCCATAGAGGAGAATAACTTAGCTAGAGATGAAGATGAACCACTATTGGAATGAGTAGAAGTATGAAATACTTTTAAGCCTGGACTTTAAGAGGTTAATTTACAATTTTTAAAATACTCACTCAATATTTATAAATTCCTTGATATTCCTCTTTAATTAAAACTTTTCAGATTTAACAAAAAACAAAATATTTATTCTTGGTCGAGTAACTCACTGAGTTGATAAATTCCTCGAATTGAAAAACTCGCCGAGTTACTCCTAAATGCGCTCCATATCCAGTACTATCATCCCAAATCAACACGAGTCTTTATACCATGTAGTATGTCCTCACTCGTGCACGCCCTCAGAAACTTCCAAGGTGGTCACCCATCTGAGATTACTCACGTTCGAGCACGCTTAACTCAGAGATCTTAGTAGACGAGCTCCCTTAAAAGAAGATGCACCTTGTTGATATGAGTAGTATTATTAATTCTTTTAAGTTAATATCATGTATTACACGTTATGGGTAGACCTTAGATATAAAAAGCGTCACAATTCCCATTTTCCTTGTAGTATTATTGGCCATTAAGATAGATTTGTTCTCAGATTCTCAGACAATCAAGCTCAAAGAAATTCAAGAAGTTTGATCCGTGGATTAGAACAAATAGATAACGTAGCAATGTTGGTGGGGCAACAAGTGACTGATTTTTTAGAGTGAAAACAAGTAGAAGATAAATAATTTGTCTGATATGGAAGTGACTATGATGGAAAAGATTAGTGGATATGGGTGAAATAAACTCTAGAGACACGAAGAAGTGGAAGAAAGGAGTACATGGTAGAACAAAAGCGACGTCGAGTGGAAGGTTATGATCAAGTTCTTTATTACTGCAAGGGAGTCTAGAGACACGGAGAAGTAGAAGAAAGGAGAAACACATGGTAGAACAAAAGCAACGTTGGGTGGAAGAGGAGATGACAACACACATGATGATGGAGTTGGAATTTGATGACGGGAAAATGGAGTAGGGCGAGCTCTGAGTTACAGATTCACCCAGAAATATACATGCGGTCTGACATATTTATTTATTGTATTTTTCTTTTACATTCTCATACATTGTCGATTTTTTATTTATGTTTTATTTTATTTTAATTTTTATAAGTCCAAACATTAGGGTGAGTTTCATTTTGATTGTTTTTGGGAGACCGGTGATGGATGTTAATCATGTTATGGGGGCAGGTATATTACTATAAGCCTTTTTCATTTAAAAAATGTGGAGAATTGCCCCAAGCATGAGTAAATAATTTTACCATTTCAAAATAAGGCTGTTATATTTTTCTTTCTGAAACATGTTTTAATTTATAAATTCTAAAAGATTTCAATATAAGATTAGATTGAATGTTTTTAGTTTAGAATTTCATAAATATCCCTCAAAAATTGAGAACACCTAAATTTTTAAAGAATGAATAGAATTATTTCTATTTCGAAAAATTGTAACAATGCTATTTTAAAATTCCAAAATCTGTTACTCCTATTTTATTTATTTTTGGGAAAAGGTGCAAATAGGCCCATGTACTAACAAAAAAAGGTCAAATAAGCCCTTATTTAGGAGGCTCTGTCCGGCCGTCGCCATTTGGGGTGGTTCCCATTTGGGGTGGTTCCTAAAATTTCACCCCAAATGACGACGTCCGGACAGAGCCTCCTAAATAAAGGCTTATTTGACCTTTTTTTGGTTAGTACATGGGTCTATTTGCACCATTTCCCTTTATTTTTTCTTTAAAAAATAACGCTATTGGGACTCTAACTTCTGTTTCTATTCTCGAAGAAGCAGAGACAATTTTAAGAATCACATCCAAACACCTAAAAAAGACGGTCCATTTATATAAAAAAAAGGCTAAAAGATCAAATAGCCCCTCGAACTAACTTAAAAAATGCAATTCATCCCTTATATAGGAGGCTCTGTCCGGCCATCGCCAATTGGGGCGATTCCCGGTGGAATTTTTTAAATTATTTTCTTCATTAAGTCTAGTTTACTCATACCAAATTTCAGCTAAATATTCAATCGAAAAGACAATTAAATAAATTTTTGAAATATACCCCATGTTGATTGGGCAGTTATCTTCAAACACAATAGCGAACCCTAAGAAAGAAAGAGCAATACGTCCAAATCTGCGAGACGTGCACATTCTCGGGGTTACCCTTAGGCTTACAGGTCATAAGACTGCACTTGATTGGGTAGAAATTTCGAAATTCCTGTTGTGTTTTAGGGTTCGCTGTAGCTAGAACGACAACAGAAAAATTTGTGCAGTGTCTAGAAGAATAACAACTCTAGCTCTTCAAGTTTCTCGATTTCTCCAAGCTGGATCTTCATCTCCAAAGGTGCCCTTTCCTTTTTGTTCCGTTTTCTTTTCTTTGGTGTGTAGTGTTTACCATTTCTCTTAGACTATGTATTCAGAGATGAACTTGCTCAGTTTTGTAATATGGCCATATGGGTATTGATTTTTCTTGAATTCCTGAAATTCTATGACATATTAATTGGCTGCAAGTAACAAGAACTAATGATACATAGTGATCAGAACTGGCTCTTGCCCTGCTAGAGGAACGTTTTGAGCTGGCTCTTTCTTCCGGGCTTAGTGAAGAACTACTGATGTAATAGTGATTAGAAAATACTTGAGGGATCAAAATTTATACATAGCATTTTTCAGTACAAATAAGTATTACAAATTAAAACACATTGTTAATATAAGAACTCACTTGGGTTCCCTCTGAATTCAAAACTCGTGAACAACTAAAAAGGGCTTGATTTCCAATGATTTAAATTGGTCACTTGATCAGAAAATGTGTAGGATATTTGCAAAAATATTGGGTAGAAGTCAATTATTTATGTCTCTCAAATCCTACACATCTTCTATGGATTTTTTCCCAAGTGATAATTATTCCTAATGATCTTTGTCCTCTTTGAAATCTTTCTCATGGGAAATCAATAAGATAAGGTTTCCCATGATTCTATTTTACCAGATTAGCCAAATCTATTTGATTTAAGACCATTTTGCAGTTGAAAATTACTTCAACTCAACATACTTTCATACGAAGTATCCAGGAATTTAATTGCTTTAAATATTTGTTTAACAAGAGACACAATTGGTAATATTAGTGTTAACTTCATAAACAACACCCTAACAGGTATGCATTATGTATATTCTTTTATTTTTATTAGCTCTCTGCCTAACTCGTCAAAATTGGATGGTGTCAACACATAAGCATCAAAATCATACGTAGTACTTAAAACTACAAAAGTATACTTTGCTAGCTCTTGGTTATATTGCAGATTGCACAATAGCATCAATATTAAAGTCTTCACACATATAGGATCTTGCATGATGAAATTAATTTATTCTCATCAAATATGTCTAATGTATGGTCGTATGGATACTTTGTATAAAACTGAAGGGTATAATTGTATAAACAATTGCAGACGTGTGCATATACACATTATAATATAAAAACCACCAAAAAGGAGGCAATTGCATGCCAAATTCCCCAGATATGTTCCTGTATGCAATAATCAGAGCATACTTTAACGTCTTTGCGGTTAATGAATTCTTGCTTGTCATGCTATACAGGTATCTAACAATAAATAAATAGTGGTTTACCAGAGCAGCAAACTGATTTGCTTCTAGCTAGTAAATGTACAGAGAGTTATGATATTATCTTTTGCGTGGTGGCTTGGTGCTTCTGCTTCCACATATAGCTTGGCACACATAAATCTCTATTATTGGGTTAGCAAATATGCCGTTCAAAAATCTGTTGACTGTAAAAGGTTCTAATCGGCATGAACTCCAACGGTTGATATCTGGAAGACAAAGTGGGCTCCAGGAGTCGGTCCAGATTCTGGTTTCTCAAGGTAGGTTGTTATTAGGACATTCAAAGCTTTTCCATTCCCTAGCTGCTGCTCAGGGGAGTCCACACACAGTTGATCAAAGGAAGAATCTTTCTGTTTTTGGAGCATTTTCTCGTGCCATATCCATTCCATCAGTATACGGGCCCACATTTCAGGTCTCTGGCAATCATATCGATCGTTTGATTGGCAGGGATTCTCAGCAGACACCAATGTCTGCTTTAAGTCCGAAATCTTTTTCTCTCTTGGACAGCTCTCCAAGTAAAATTTCCTCCTGGCACCTCCAACCTGATGTATCATCAGTGCACAATTCACTAATTTCTAACGGCTATAGAGGATTTGAGAATTGTAGAAGAGCATGCATGAGTTTGAGGAACAAAGATAAGCCGAATTCATTTGTCATTTATGGATATTTTGCATATATTGTTGGGAAGAGACGAGATGGAGACCATCTATTTGAAGGATTTGGATTGAATGGTTTCCACAGATTGCCGTCTGCTTGTTTCTCTACTCGAACAGCTCCAGATGTGTCCATTGATAACCCAGTGTCTGGGGACCAATGTGCAAATTCAGCTGACTCTTCAGAAGAGTATGTTCCTTCTAGCTGTGCTCCTATTAATTCATCCTTTTTTATGTTACTCATCTTCCACGTGCAAAGAATAATTTACGCAGAAATAAACATCAAAAGGATGTTCGTTAATTGGATTTGACTGGAATTGCTGAAGTTGTTAAATTGTGGCTAATATTGGTGAAGTTATTTAATTTTATTTTGATGAATTGTGAAAAATATTATTAAAATATATTTTATTGATTAAACATTTAGAAAAGAATATGGAATAAAGGCTGCCACTATCTTCATCCTCCGCCAAAAAAGTACCTTCATGGCTGTCACCTTATTTTTTTAATTTTTAACCAATGCTAGTTTAGTAAAATATGGAGGAAAGTTGCTACAAACTCCATATATCATTTTTAGATATTTAATCAAACTAATTTTACTTAAAACATTTCTATTATTACATAAAGGTGGAGAATGTTTAGTGTATGTTAATAAAAAAAAAGTTTTAATTAAATGTGATTTTCCTTTGTATTTTCCAAGGTAAACCAAGCATTAGAACACCCCATTTTGCTTGGTATTTTAATTTTCCTTTCCCCGCCATATTCTGGATTTCAAAAGGATCCTAGGGGTTGAGGTTGAACCACAAGTTTTATTTTTTTGTAACTGTCCATTGACGTGCCAATAAGAATTTACAATGAGCATAAAAAGTTCTCTGTTTTTATGATGTTACATGGTGCTGGTCTTTAGGAAGATCCTGATTGGAAGGAGCCTGAAGCTGAACTCTGGATCATGTTATTTGCCCCATCCTGACAAAGAAGAGACAGGGGGAGAGGATGCTCATTTCATATGTGGGGATGAGCAAGCAATTGGGGTTGCTGATGGTGTGGGTGGATGGGCTGAGCTTGGGGTTGATGCGGGGCAGTATGCACGAGAGCTGATGTCTAACTCTGTGTCAGCCGTTCAGGAGGAACCGAAGGGTTCCATAGACCCTGTCAGAGTCTTGGAGAAAGCTCACTTGTCTACAAAAGCAAAAGGTTCTTCAACTGCTTGTATCATTGCGCTTACAGATCAGGTAATTGTGTGTGTGAACCTGGATGATATGTATGAGTAACAATCACGCTGAATGAAACTAGCCATAACTTCATTGAGTTTAAGGGTTTAAGTGGAAAACTGGAAATTCTATGGGAAGGAAAATAATGCTAACTTGCTCAAGAAAGTTATTCTTATGATTGATTTTTCCTTGAAAATGAAAAGCTGCGAAGCACGGAAATTCTGGGAAAAGAGTACGTCTCCATTTTGGAATCTCTTTGGAAACTGTCCAAGCAACTGTTTTTCTATTAAAAGATGTCATTTCTTGTTTCCCTGCTTGTTTCCTACATTTTCATGCAACATAGATATAAAATCAAATATAAATATATGATTACCCTTCTCCTACTCTGAAAAAAATTGCTAATTTTCCTGAAGTGGTTGTCCCAAAAGACTACCTATTATTCTTTGTAGGAAACAAATTTGTGGTTCATATTGTATCTTTCGCTTCTACATAGATTTGAATGACACAGTTTTCACTTTCTTAATATTTGTGCGTCAAGGTTGACAGAACAATTGTGGATGGAGGGAAGTAATTCTTTCACATTTATTTAGATTTTCTGTTTTTATATAATAGACACAAATATATAAAATGAGCATCAATAAATATCTAAAATAAGTTCATTGATATTTAGCTGATCTTTTGTTTTCCCTGTCATTTTCTTTCATTCAAATTTTCATTCCTATTTCCTCGTAGTATTTCTGAGGTCCATTTGGAGCTCTGGAAATACTAGGGAAGGAAATTAGAGAAAAAAAATATGGGGAAAACAAGAGACATGGGTTCAAACTGTTTTAGATGTTACTCCAAACTATTTATTTATTTTAACCAAACAAACACCAAGACATCGAAATGCATATAAAAAATAATAATATTTCACTTTCCACTATATTTTTCATGGTAAAAGCAAACATAAGAAAGTATTTTATTTGGCATTTTTGTTACCCCAAGCGTTTTCTATAACCCCCACATACCCTACTAAAATAACTGCCCATATTGGTGAGAAGTTGGAATATGGGGGTGTTTAGATCTGATTCTTAAAATTGCTTTTGCTCCTTCATGGAACAGAAGCAGAAGTTGTAGTGTTTGGGTGAAAGTGCAGAAGTACTTCCGGTGCTCTAATTTACTCCTAAAATCAGTTTTTTAGAAGCTGGGGGAGACCGGCTTATGAAAACTGATTCTGATTCTGCTTAAAAAAAGCAGAAGCAGTTCCAAACACCCCCTATGTAGACTTGTAGTATATTGGTTTAAACCAGTTCTAAGCACCTCCTATGTAGACTTGTAGTATATTGGTTTAAACCCAAGTTCAGATGGTAAGAAGTTAGAATGCTGTAGTATATTGGTTTAAACCAAATTCTTAAATTCTTTCTTAATGTTACATTCTTGTTAACAGGGTCTCCACGCCATAAATTTAGGTGACAGTGGATTTATGGTGGTGAGAGAAGGATGTACTGTTTTCAGATCTCCTACTCAGCAGCATGATTTTAATTTCACATATCAATTGGAAAGTGGTAATGCTGGAGATCTTCCAAGCTCTGGACAGGTTAGTTAATTACGTCACACTGACACTACTTGTGTAAACATGTCTGCTCTTCTGAATTACTTCTTCCATCCCGTTAAGATTGTCTCATCTCTCCTTTTTGGTCCATCCGACTAAGTTTGTCTCATACCAGATTTGGTAAAGTTTGTGTGGTTCCGAATCATTCTTACTTTATTCTTACTATATCAATTTAATATCAACCACATAAACCAACTTCTCATAGTAACCGTGTCACCTAATCATGTCCTAATGTTAGTGGGACGAAGAATTAGCTTTGGCAAAACATGATACTATTTGGTTCTCAATCATTTTTGAATTGTTCAATTGAGCTTCAACCATTCTATTGTATTTTTTCGAGCCCTTCTACGCCTGAATCAATCAAATTGAGTGAATCCTTGAAAGACCTTTTTAGCATTTAGTTTGCAATGAAACACAAAGCCATAAAAGAATTAATAATAAAAAAATTGTTCCCAAAAACAATGAGTAACAATGACACAGGATGACTAAAATTTCATATTTGACAATAAACACCACATCAAACCAAATTACTAAGCAGGTTAGGTAACATGGCATTTGGAGCAATGCTAAATGGCTAGAATCTATCAAAGTTTTTCTTTCTTGAACCAAATTGTTTTGGCACCACCAAAGATGGGAAATCATTCACGTTACATGCATTAATTGAATTTATCATAGTATCAAGCAAAAAAGATCTTGAGGAATTCCAAAGATAAATGGCAGGGAAAATATGCTATCTTTTCTTATTTCTTCCCACAAGTGGCATTCCTGTAATTCCAGGATGCGTTAAATATCACATCTTGCAAGTTTATTCAAGTTCACTACTTATTGTTGCATCGCTTTCTCTTCAAGTGAGAAACCTGTTGCTAGATTACCCAATTTGTTTTAAAAGAAACATGGGCTCAATGTGATAACTCTGAGACATATAAGGGCTTCTTTAAAAAATTGCTTTTTAAGATCATGTGCTCTATAGAATATTTTGAAAAAGTTTAGGTGCCAAATTATGTGTGTTTCCATTAGTTTTTTTACAGCTGGACATCCATGTCCATACACCATAGCAAACCACCTCAGCCCCTAAGGGTCCGTTTCGAACATGGAAACTTATGTAAAGAAAATACGTATGAATACATAGCAAAAGTCTAGAAGGAAATATTGTGGAGAATAAGACATTGGATCTAACTCACAAAAATTACTTTTAATGTCTTCAAATTCATTTAATTTATTTATTGGTATTATATAAATCAGGATTATCTTTCCTAACCTCAGCATTTTCCAAGATCCAAAAGTAGCCTAAAGCATTTGTTTTCATGTGTTTTAGTTATCTCTGCTAAGTGCTATGCCAAGTTCATGTGTGTATGTTGATAGGTGTTCAAAGTTCCAGTAGCTCCAGGAGATGTCATAATCACCGGAACGGATGGTCTATTTGACAACCTATACAATAGTGATATCACTGCAGTTGTGGTTCATGCCGCAAGGGCTGGGTTAGGGCCGCAGGTGACGGCTCAGAAAATAGCAGCACTGGCACGCCAGCGGGCCCAGGATAAAAACAGGCAGACACCGTTCTCTGCTGCTGCACAGGAAGCCGGGTTCCGTTATTACGGCGGAAAGCTGGATGACATCACCGTTGTTGTTTCATATATTACCAGTGATAAAAATGTATGACTTCTCCCTCTCTCATCCTCACCTCTTGTCACCATATCAGCATATCTGCTCCAACTGGATACAGAGTGCGTTTGGGATGACTTATTTCCAAAAAGTACTTATTAGAGGGATAGACACTTCTCACTTTGAAAAAATCAATTGGAATATAAAGTGGAAGAAGTGATTTTAATTGTTAAAAAAGTTCACTTAGATCCAGTTTGGGAAAACCTAAATGTCTGAATGTTGTGAATTAGCTTAAGAAAACAATAATTTGAATATGTTGGATTGTCATATTCAGCCATTTTAGACAAAAAAGCACCTTTATCTGGATTAGCTGTTAGTGGGGGGGTGAAATCAGTTAGAGTTTGGTGTCTTAGTGAAACATCTGAGTGATGTGATAACTCAAAATAAGGACTTATCAAAAGGTTTTCTTTAATACTTGTTCAATGTAACATCTATTGGTGTTTTTCTTTAATACTTATTTGTCATAAAATCATTTATTTAAGCCATAAGTCATCTCTTACAAGGCTATAAGCTTAAGTTTAAGATTAAATGACCCATTTTGTTTTAATTATCCAAGACTACACTCCACAGGCCCTTTCGGGATTGAATATCATTTCACTTCTCTGTTTTGCATAAATCAGTTTGAATTGTAATCTTATATGTATATGCCTAATCTGCTCTCTGCAGGAAAGCTCTTCTGTGCCATGCAGATCTACTTAGCAGATGCTTCCCATCTGGTGTTGGAGGTCAAAGTTTGGTTTTTGTTGTAGTTTTGAGATTCAAATGTGTCTATGTGTGTGGATGATGAAATTCAGAAATTGTAGTCTGTTGTACATATTAGTTATGGCCAGTGTTTTACTCGTTTGTCTTCCATACAACTATAACAAATTGAGTAATCTTGTGCATCATTGATTAATGATTATTTTTTGATACTCCGTTGTGTTAATTAATTAATGACGGGTTCGGCGTGAGAGCTCTTCATCCGTAATATCTGTCCAAATTTATATATCGAATGCTCTTCTCGCCATATGTGAGGTTCCTGTCAAAAGAGTGTTGTCCAGTAGTCGGGCTCTTTCTAAAGGGCGGGGATTCCGGGAATTAGGTTGACGGGGTTAGAAGTTAGAACGCTAAGGACATCCTCTCTTCCTCATACACTTTTGACATAGATTGATAGATGTGGGGTGTTTGGAATTGATTATGCTTCTTTTTTAAAGCAGAATCAGAATCAGTTTTCAAAGTTGGTCTTCTATAGTTTCTAAAAACACTGTTTCTAGGAATAAATTAGAGCACTAGAAGTACTTCTGCATTTTCACTCAAACACTCAAACTTCTGCTTTTACTCCCTGAAGGAGTAGGAACAGTCTCAAGAATCAGATCCAAACACCTCCGTGGACATTTAGTGACTCTCCGATTGACACTTGGTCTTGGTGTTGGTTTAGTTAGATTGACATGGTCCAAGAACTCATAGTTAGCATATCCTCTGTGCCATATGCTACTTGCTCGGTCATTGAGGGTGGACGGTAATAGAGATTAGTCTTGGACTCGGGTTGGGCCGCCCGACTCGGAACCAGCCTCGGAACCAGCCTCGGACCGGTACTGTTTGGGCCCGGCCCGGCCCGATGACCCGCTATTGTCCGGTTCGGGTAGGCCCGGCCCGCTGGTTAGGGAAGGGCGGGCTCGGGTCAGCTGATTATGGAACCGGCCCGGCCTTTATTATTTTTTTTAATTTTTTTCAATTTTTTTTAAACCCGGGTTGGGCTGAGTATTTTGGGCCATTTGGGGTGGTTTGGGGGGTGAGGGGGGGGGGGGGGGTCGGGGGTTAATTAGAAAAAGGAAAAAAAATACAAAATGGCCCGAGGCCTGACCTGGCACAACCCGGCGGCAACCCGAGCCGGTCCCGGGCCTTCCCCCAAACACAAAAGGCCCGACTGGGCCTAGGCCCCGGCCCGGCTCCATGCCTATTAGAGATCAAGGGGGCACGCGTCCCCAAGAAAAATATTTTTCCATTGTAAATATGAGAAAATTTTAATTGGTCCACCAAAAAATATTTTGGTGCCCCAAAATATAAGTAAATGTAATAATTACTTTCCCAAATTTTATTTAAATATTTACTACCATTAAAGAATGAAAGAAATCAGAAAATATAAATTGTAAGTTAAAATGTGATAGATAATTTATATGAATCTATTTACGATGAATGATTGTGTATTCTTTTAAACAAAAACTTGAAAATTTTGAGGACAAATCCAATTCCTAAAAATAGAAATTCAAAGTGACATGCAGTGTAATACACTACTATATACTTTGTATCAAAACAAAACAAGGCAATTCACATATGCTTTTGACTCAAAAACTCTAATTTTGGGATTTATCTCTTTGGAGGAATACCAAACACAATTTTAAAATACTCCCTCCGTCCTAAATTGAGGTGCAAAAGTTGATCGGCACGGGAATTAAGAAAAAATAGAAATTGGCAATTACTTTCCCATTTTGCCCTTCCTCACCCGGCGTGGAGCACAAACACTGAAATTGGAAAAACAATTTTTCTTAAAGCAATTCAATTACAACTTTTTGTCAGACAATACCATATGTGTTACCGGTTCAATTACGAGCCGGTTCGGTACCGGTTCAGTTCGATTTTTATGCCCACCCGTAGTTACAATGCTTCAACCTGTTAAGCCACTCCAAGCTATTAGAGCGCGCTCCAACAAAAAATGTAAGTCCGACCTTACCTTTTTTATTATTACACAATCCAATGCACGAAATTAAAAATTACTCTGTAAATAAATAAATAAATAATAAGATTTATAAAATGAAAACAATGATTATAAAAGGCGCTTTTAATCGTTATGTTTTGCATATTTAAATAATAGTAAAACTATGTAATTAAATAAATTGATATAACTGTTAATAATGTCCAACACATAATAAAATTCTCTCTCTTAGGGTTTCACATTCGTATTGGTGGAATCATCTCTTTGGCGTTCGTATTCCACGAATCCTCCTTCTCTGACTAGTTGCTTCACAATCTCTGCTAGAGTGTGGGAAAATGATGGGGAATGCGTACGTGTTGTGGTCTTTCTCTAGCTTGTCGAGAGTTGGGGGTTTGCTCTTGCGTGTCGAGAGCGGTGCAATACCGCACGTCTGCGGATCAGTTTTTATTTTTCATTTTGATCAAGTGCAGGTTCAAGAAAGGATCACTTTTATGGATGATTTAGTGTAGCGTTGGTCCATTTCACCAATTGAGGAGGAAGTGGAAGTATTGGTTTTTGGTAGATCAACATGGGTGGAGGGTGGCACAGGCGACGAGCAGACGGGGAACAGTGAAGGGATGAGCAAGGGAGAGAACAGATCAGCGGTCCGCCCGCGTTATGTCGTTAGAAGGATCTTTATGACCTGTTATTGTTGTGTCACACTTGTTTGGTGATTAACGATTCGTACTGCTTTTTCAGAGTTTAGTCGTATGATTGATAATGTTAGTTCATTACATATAGTTCTTGTAAGTGTTGATTTCTTAGAGTTTGTTGTAACAATATGAATCATAATGATATTAATATAAACAAATTTTCCTTTTTAAAAAAATATTAATGTCCAAACTCCAAAATATTCAACAAAGTGCGAGTCACTATTCTAGCGACTTATAGTAGCTGCTGCCTATTCCATTCCCACGACGACTCACTCTCAGCCGGCCAAAGTGGCAAACCCAAAACGACGGTAAAAGAAGTTAAAGTTACGGATCAATTCTTTCAAATGACTTGAACAGCTAAGAACCGAAATTCAGAAGTCTTTGCACTTATAGAATTTGTGTTCTTTCTTCTCCATAAAACTTCTTCGTGGAGTGATTTTCACTTCACTTTTGAGATTACATTTCCTTTTATCCTTTTGATCAATTTCTTGTATGAGAAGTCTAACCATGCCTGGCCGGAGAGACAAATCCGGCCAATCCACTCGCGGATCTCGAATCGGGGCGGCGATAGCTGTCGGAGTTCTGATGGGTTGCATCTTTGCTTTCTTCTACCCCAATGGATTCTTCCCAACCAATGTCCCCCAGACCGAAAGTCGCAAACTCTCCAAACATGATCTTCAGGTCTGTATTTATGTAAACCATTACCAGTGACATTTTTATTTTCTCTTAATTTTATATATGCGCGCCTTTTCCGTTGAAATTTTAATTCAGTCGAGACTGCACTGTATAATTCTTACGTAGTACGTAGTATTTAATTTTGCGGATATCGGACAAACTATTTAATCCAGATGCTCTGTGATGGAATTGTCGAATCTAGGTTATATTTTCTTACATCATTTGTGCATGATGAGATGAGATGAGGTTCACTATGATGTGTGACTTATGGACCAAATATTGTGCTCCAGAAAATGCTTACCCAGTTTTGATCTTTTTTTTTTGAACTTTGTTTGATCAATTTCCTTTTAAGTACGTTTTGTAGCTTTAAATGCTGCTACTATTAATTGATGATGATTTTTAAGTTAATTAAGTATGAAGGAATCACATCATTCATAATTATTTGCAAATTTAGCATGTGGTATCATGCATTTTCGATTTGAATTGAGTTTCTCTTGAACCCCTCTAAATGAAGATTTCCCAAAACAATCGGTTGCAATGGCAGTAATCTGGAGTACTTATACTGATCGATTGATTGTTCTCATGGTCAATTGTATGCTTATCAAAATTTCCTTTTAAATGGTAGGTTGACTCTTCCACATGCGAATCTCCTGAGCGGGTGAATTTGTTGAAACTAGATATCATGAAGTTGTCTAACAAGAACTCAGAGTTACAGAAGCAGGTGAGGGAGCTAACCAGTAAGTTGCGTTTGGCAGAGCAGCAAAAGGGGAACGTAGATCAACAAATTGTTGTGTTGGATAAACCCCAAAAACCTGGTCCATTTGGCACTGTCAAGAGTCTGAGAACCAACCCTCATGTCATTCCAGACGAATCTGTCAACCCAAGACTGGCTAAGATTTTGGCAGAAGTTGCTATTGGGAAAGAGATCATAGTTGCACTGGCAAATTCGAATGTGAGATCCATGCTTGAAGTATGGTTTACAAGCATTAAAAAGGTTGGCATATCGAATTATCTAGTTGTGGCTTTAGATGACCCGATTCTGGACTTTTGCAATGAAAACAAAGTCCCGGTTTACAAGCGGGACCCAGATGAGATGGTTGATTCTGTAGGGAAAATTGGGGGGAACCATGCAGTGTCTGGATTGAAGTTCAGAATCTTGAGAGAGTTTCTACAGCTTGGATATAGTGTCCTCCTCTCTGATGTTGACATTGTTTATTTACAGAATCCTTTTGACCATTTGTATAGGGATTGTGATGTGGAGTCGATGAGTGATGGGCATGACAACATGACAGCTTATGGATACAATGATGTCTTCGATGAACCTGGAATGGGCTGGGCACGTTATGCTCATACGATGCGGATATGGGTGTATAATTCTGGGTTCTTTTACATAAGGCCAACCATTCCTTCAATCGAACTACTTGACCGAGTTGCTGATCGGCTTGCCCGGCAGGCAAAAGCATGGGACCAAGCGGTTTTCAATGAGGAGTTGTTCTTCCCGTCACATCCAGGGTATGTTGGACTTCATGCTTCTAGGAGGACCATGGATATATACCTTTTCATGAATAGTAAGGTCTTGTTCAAGACTGTGAGGAAAGATTCTAATCTCAAAAAGGTGAAGCCGGTTATAATTCATATAAATTACCACCCCGATAAACTTCCCAGAATGCAAGCTGTTGTTGAGTTCTACGTTAATGGGAAGCAAGATGCTTTGGATTCATTCCCTGAAGGTTCTGAGTGGTAAAAAGTTCTTTGTTTTCTATGGGACATTCACTTGGTTTTTTTCCCAGATCTGTTTTTTCTATCCATACTTGTAGCCTCGGGCAAGTTTCCTTCTGGGCTTCCATGTGTAAGATTACGTGTCAGATGAAACAGCATGTCATGCTGCTCAACGCTGGATGTGAAATTCACCTTTGTTATTAACCCTTGGTTTTCTTCTGATTTATTGTGACTTTTCAGTGAGTGAGTAGCATAACTTTCTAAGGGATAAATGAGTTAGGGTGCTGACTGCTGAAAAAGTTTGTTCTTCACAGTACACTTATAGCACAGGATAAATGATTTCTTTTTTTTGGTACAACAGAAATGACATGATAAGTTTTATAAGCCCATTGGATTTTGATTTTCCTGAAAACTTTGTTAAGTTCCCATTAAAATAACTAATTTATGATTTTACTCTTTTTTAATGATTTTATCCATTTCTCTCTTCTCCACATATATCTTAATCACATTATTTTTACTTCTCTTATTTCTCACATAATTCACCAGGATAGCGGTAATAGAAGTTTAAACAAATTAGAGTGAAAGTGTTCAGGTGACAAAATTTCTCTCTAGTTTTATACTTTTATATGAGTACTTAATCTTGTATATTTCTCTGTTCTTTATAACTTTGCCAAATTTGACTCATATGGAGAATTATAAAGTAAAAACCGGGTGATTGGAATAGTAACCGGAACCGCAAATTAATTTAATTGATTAAAAAGGAAATTGACAATTTTTTTTAAAACAATTTAAAAAGGAAAGACTGGTAATGTTATAAACGACCAAGTGTATAAACAATTCACCGTATTTGAATATAGTTATTGTAACCCAACAGAAATTTTCATGTAATAATAATATTGAGTCACACTGCATCAGTCAACCATATTGAAATAGGACTTTGAAGGAGTCAAGGAGCTTTGAAATTTTGAAGCATGGTGAGATGAGATCATGAGAGAGCTTCACAGGATTTAAAAGTAAAAATGCATCGCAGTGAATTTACAGAAAAAGTTTAGAAATAGTAGATAAAAAAGCTGGAGAAGTCCATAAACATGAAATTCAGTAAACTTCCTTAATGGTCTGATTTAATTGTGTTTTAGGCGAATCCAAGTTGAATAGTTTCCCTAAGCTCTATCTGTTCTTCAGGGAACCGAGAATAATGACCACCAGCACATGACAAAAAACTGAATCACTCAATCACTCTATAAAAAAAAAAACTTTCATGACAAAAAACTGAGTCCCTCTAAAAAAATAAAAGTTTAAGTGACTTGTTATGCAAGACAGTAAGAGTATTATACGGAGTATAAACCTAAAAAATGATTACGAATATGATATAAAAAATTGCTAGTAATTTGTATTTTTAAACATATTTTATATGAAAAAGAGTTAAAAATATTAAAGTTATTGCAGATTACTCAAAGACACAACAAATAAACCTGGGCCAAACTCATTTATCTTCCTACAACGTTCTATATGAAGTATGATCTATACTTAACGCGCAGAATGTTATATTCCCAATAGGTATCTTTAATAGTCTGAACTACCTCCAATCAAAATTCATTCATCCTACTCCTATCTCCTCTCTTATGGAAGCATAGTTGACTTCTCCCTAAAAAGTTTCATACTTTTTTTTTGCATGGGTATATTATTACACGATTCCAAGTATGAAGCTTCAGAGGGTTTCAGCAACCACACAACATAACGTGCATTAACACTTAAGAACACATATTTTATTCATTTTTAGAGCTTAATACAAGTAATTAATAGTTCCATACTTGCATGAAAATACATGCAGAGTACTAGAGAGGTGCTGATAACCCATTGTCCTTCATCATCGAAATATACTTGTAAGGTGCAGCAGCGCCTGCCTTGACACACATATCTATAACGGCCGGAGCATGCCCATAATAATCCCGACCTTCATCCACAAGAACCCGTGGATCTTGAGGTCTTCGAAACCATACTATCTTTGGAGGGACAAAATCGTCCACTCCTGCCTTCTGCCAGACATGAGCCTCATGTTGACTCTCATTGACTCCACCTAAGGGCACCACGTGAACCTCCGAACAGAGTTTGCATAGCTTTGCAGGGAAAACCAGAATCAGCTTCTCCACGCCATTCCTGACTGATTCATAAGCGCTTAGTGTTTCTTTTGCTACAGACTCCATTTCTTTGTCCAGTGGATATGCAGTTTCAAACCTGTTTCCTGGTTCTGTACTGTTTAGATATTCACTAGGGAGGGTAGCTCCTGCTCGTAAGCAGAGTTCTACTACTGCTGGGATATGGTCATGATCTGATCTTTCTTGGGCATAGTGAACTGCTTCTACAGGAACCAGAATGTCATTCAACCGCGCTTTGATCCACTTATGAGCCACAATCTTTGCAAGATGCCTGTAACCACCACAAGTTCGGATTAAATGACCTCTCTCTCCAATGTACACTTCTGGACAGTATCTGCAATAGAATTTTCCAATTCATAACTTATCGCTTTTAGACACACTAAAGATTATTACATTTCCCTCTCTGCAATTTCAATTATGTATGGCTTGTTTGGTTCTGGGATTCCGGAGGGGAAGGAAGGGGATGCTTGATTTTTGTTTTAAAAACTTATCTCTAGTATATAGATAAAAAAACATAGTGGCCATGAGGACTCATGGCTTATGGTGAACATCATGAAGCCAAGGCAGTTTGCCTTGGTCATGGCACATTACACAAAAAACAAAAAGTATAAATATGAACTACAGACAATATAGTTCTATGGCTCATCCACCAATAAGAGAGTTAAATAACCAAATCCTAGAAAACATATAGGCAAGTCAAAACAGTACCAAAATAACTAAATTCCTAATCAAACAGACTTAAAGAATGAAAACCAGCAAATAAAGTACAAATAGAAGTTAAAGGCATAAATATAAACTACAAAATAGATATAAACTGGAACTAAACTTTCAAATAAACATAAACTGTAAGTCTGCATAGTAGAACCCTGCCATACTGCCATGTTTATAAATATTGTATATTTGTACTTTTACAAATTGTAATGGCTTTAAAAGTGAGGGATTTGACCATTTGAGAATATGCACACTATTATTATTCAATGAATCATTAAACTAACATATATAGCAGATTAATACGATTATATATAGTATAACCATGAAATACATCTTATATACTCTCGTAATATACAGACCTCTAAGGCTCTAACTTATACTCCGTATTATTTAATAATAGATATTTTGATATTAATATATTATATATCCTATTATATTCATATGAGTCTTGAGACTCTTGACAATAAGGTTGAAACGAGGATACCTCAGTGTATATGGATTTGTACAGGAAAATGACCGAAAACAATCAAATATTCAGGTATTAATTACATTTTACTCAGTTGAGTATGACATTTTTTAATTCTTTATTGTAGCCTAAGTCTTAATTGACAATTATTAATTAGGGCCAAGGCTCTAATTAATATGGCCATGTATGGCTATATGAAAAATATAAAGTTGTTTAAAATATGAGCCCACTTGTGGCACAAATGGTGATGGTGCACAAAAGGCCCCGCCACATGTATAATTGAAATGAGGGATTACTTTTGTGGCGATAGGCCCTTAAACGGTTAAACGCCGATGGCAATAAATGGAAATCGCCATTTGCGCCATTGACTAGTATGATCAGGAATAACTACAGAGTACATATTAAATTAAATAATGTGAAGTTGTATAATATTTCACCCTAACTTTCTATTTAGTTGCCTAAATGTCAGAATAACTTAATAAATAAATAGCACTCCCATTTCATCTCTGGCCAAACCAAACAAACCCTTTTAGTAAAGAAAATCCAAGTATAGTATTGAATATTGATCGTAGTTTTCCCTACCATTTCTAATTATATGAAAGGAAATTTACAATAAGATGTGGGCTTTTGCAATCCCAAACATGGCTACTCTGGAATTGAAATGTAAGAAGCATTTTTGAAATAGATGTAACTAGCCTGTTAAAAAGCACTAGAGGGTCTCTACACAGTACACACACAGTATAGACTGTGTCATATCACTTAATTGAGCTTATGCAGGGATTAGTCATCATAAGAAGAAATCAGAGTAAGTCTAGCGCCTAGGTAGCAATAGCATGTATTTAGCTGAAATACAAGCTGAAAGTTGAAAAGGATGTAGCTGGAAGTGTTAAAAGTTGAAAGCTACGAGCCTACTATTGGTGGTAGCAGTGTTCGGTAAAATTGGTTTTGTTGAGTACCTCATTTAAGTAAAAGGGCATAAAAGCATTCATTAAATCGATTAAATGTAAATAGAAGGTGTCATTTTTAAAAAAGGTTGTTAGTGAAGTCCAAACAAATAGTTAGAAACCTGTTTCTGAAATGCAGTAAGAGATTGCTTGTCAAATAAAAGCATACTTTAAAGCTCTAACGAAGTATTTTACTTAGCAGATTCCACAATTATGTTACTTGGAAGTTGAACTTAAAATATGCAATCTAAATTTTCTGAGCTAATTTTCATATTTGAAACTTTTCCATATACTCTTCTCTTACCTCAGGAAAGGACAACTTTCACCAATGTATATTAATATTATTTCTGGAAAATGGGTGAATTTGGAAGACACATGTTTAGAAATGCTACAAATATGAACACATAAGTGGTTATTATCATAGGCTCAAAAAAGTATTCCAAACGAGCAAATACTCTGCAACAGTGAGAACAATTACTTGCACGCCCAGACAGGCAAATGGTGGAGGAGGGTGGAGACACCACGGTAGAGTAAAGCTCGTGACTTGAGGACTTCCTGAGCCACAGGGGCAGTCTCATAGAAACGGTAATCCTTTGCCCAATTCTGAACCTTCTTCATGATGAATGGTTTCAGCGCTTTCAATTCCACCGCCTTCGAATCCGAGCTGTAGGATCGGCGGGACCTCGCCTTCGGCATTCCCAGCAGCAACTCACTTCGTATCCACATCTTGGCGATTTTCCTAGCCATTTTCGACGATTGTGTATTCGCCGATTTTACACCTGCGGCAGCGTGGGATCATTGATGTTCCAAACCGGCGACGGAGGATGGAGGATGGTTGATCTGAGAGGACAACGGCTTCGCAAAGAAGCGTGAGTTTGAGTATAAAACACGGAGTAATTGCCCTATAAACCCAAGTAGATCGCAATTAGCTTTTATTGTGGGAATAATGTCAAAAATATTAGTAATGACTTTTACAAAGAAATGATAATGGAGACTCATAGATTGGTTGGTAGTCATAACAATTAAAAAAATTATTATACCAATAATACTATTCATAATATAGGATTATTGGCTAAATATATCCTCAACTATCATCAAATTCAAAAATTTATCCCATATTTTCACTTTTATTAAAAAAGATTCAAACTTTAATCTTCTCACAATTACACTTTCAATGAATGAATTAGTAAAACTTAATAAAAAAAAAATAATATTTATATTCATATTTTTTCACTCCTTTCTATTTTTACTTTTACAAACTTGTATTGCTTATATCTTATTAATATTGATAAAAATGTGTAATTTTGAAAAAAAAAAAAACATAATTGTTGAAAAACATGAAAGTTAAGTCTTTTTCTGATAAAAAAAAGTCCAATAATATGATAAATTTGTGAATTTGATAATAGTTTGGGATAAAATAAGCTAATAATCCTAGAATATATAACAACATAATTAATATTTCAATAAAATTCAAATTGTTGATAACACTTCATTAATTAAATATAATAAATATTAAGTGCTACAGAGTATTATGTAAAACCCATTAGTAGTCCTATTTTCCGGCCCATTACACATAAAACTCAGCCCAATAACCTAACCTAACCCGTCCTATATAATCTCACATTTAACCATCATCTAAGAGGAAAGTTCATGTCAGGCCGGCCTGACGGGCTGCTCCGTCCGGCCGAGCCCGTTTGGGCACCTTCCCGGTGGAATTTTTTGATGAAATTTTTTGAGCATGTTCCTCATCAAGCCTAGTTTGTCCATACCAAATTTCAGCTCAAAATTCGATCGGGAAGGCATTCAAATTATTTTTTGAAGTTGACTGCAGTTTTATATGTATATTTTGACGCAGTCAACTTCAAAAAATGATTTGAATGCCTTCCCGATCTCATTTTGAGCTGAAATTTGGTATGGACAAACTAGACTTGATGAGGAACATGCTCAAAAAATTTCATCAAAAAATTCCACCGGGAAGGTGCCCAAACGGGCTCGGCCGGACGGAGGTTCCCGTCAGGCCGGCCTGACGAGAAGAGTACTCATCATCTAATACATTTACTCAGCGGCCTACTTGACAAACCATCGGTGTTGTCTGACCCTCCCGTTTCTCTCTATTCCTCTCAGTACTCATGACCCTTCTGGCCTTATCATCGTTTTGTTTTGTCGGTCTTGTTTCACGGCTGAGCAAAGGTACACCGTGTAGTTAGTGTGTCGTATGACCGGTGTTTTCTTGATCCACCACTACGACAGCGCTAAACAATAAGTAACGATCAAAGGATCATAGAACTCATGTCTCCTTTGGCGTTTTGTTATTGGTCTACCTTCTTAAGTTTTGTTTAGTTTTTTGTATTGATTTGGTACGAAGGCTGAGTGATAACAGATGATCTCAGACCTCATTATTCCTTACTGTTTTGCACTTGTATGTGACATGAAATAAGATCTATATGATATCCCCAAAAAACTCTTGGATTGTGATAGATCTTCTGTTTTTTTGAAAATATTTGTTGTTTTTTGGCCTGCATGTCTTCTTTATTATGTGATAATGGAGTAGCAAAACCTGACTTACAAAATATTTTCCTTACACAGTATACACACGAACGACTCAAAGACTGAGTGATTATAAAGAAAGGGTCTCAGGTTCTATCGTTTTTCTCCGTCATCTTTGTTATCCCTCAATTAGTTCTTTTGTATATATTTTCTCCGAATACTGAGTGATATTAATTGATCTCAGAGGTCATTATTGTTTACCGTTTTAAACTTGTATGTGACTTGGCTTCACAAATTCAAACTTTGCCTAATAAGATCATCCCGATTTATAAATATCCGGATTGATAGGTCTACTAAGGCTAAGTGATATTCAAGGATCTCATATCTTATTGTTTCTTGTTATGGACTTGTGTCAGACTTGGCTTAACAGATTCATATTTCCCCAAATATTTATATGTTTGCTTCTGATTTTAATAAATCTTTAGTTTTTTTTGGGAATTTTGTATTCACATTGGGCTGGAACTCCTGGAAGGTACTTGGTCTTCTCGAAAATAGATTTACTACCAATGTATCGTTTTCAAGGTGACCTTTATCGTTAAAGGGGTGGAGTTTATTTCCATCGTAGCCTCACACGATCAGAGGTCCAGGATTTCAGATCTCTGTTGTTTTCTTTGTGGTATATATGACATACTTGTCCGTTCTTGATATTTAATTGAATACTATTTTAAATTAGTTTTTAGTCTTCATCGATTAATTAATCGAGCTTTTTGGACCTCACCTGAGTTCGTAATTTCACTACATATTTCTCCGATTTGAAATACAAATGGAATCGATTATGAGATTGATAAAGTTCATAAAGCTATATGGAAATACAAATGGAATCGATGATTTGAACGAAGATTTAGTTCTATGCCACAATTTGTCAAACTTAGATTTTTATATGGGCATACACGTTATGTTCTTTGGTTATAGTTTTGTACATAGCCAGCTTTAATCTTGTGATGATTGGATGTATGCGTTCTCAATGTTTATACAACGTGTTTATACAAATTTATTTTAAACACCAACTAAAAATTAAAATAAAATCTTTGTGTTAATCAAACATAAAAATCACCTCTTGTCATGCAACACCATTTTGACTGTCTTCCCTCCCCTAGTAAAGCATCTCGTAGACCATCACCACCTTAACCCTTAAAAACCAGTTGGTGGCGATGTATCTCATACGCCCTTGCCACCCTAACCTTGATTGCAGGTGAACTTAGTATGATCGATATCCTTGATTAAAGCCCACATCCTTGATGATGATGAACCCGCTGCTATTGCTCTGTTTTGAAAATTAGAATGTCGAATTACTGGTTTGTGGTGTGTTGTGACTCCATTGCTTGGGTATTTATAGTGGCTGGGGGGAAGGGGGTGAAAACACAGGGTAATTCGTGGTTAACCAAAGGTCAAACATCCCACTCAATCTTTACATTTGGATTTTGTAGTACAAAAAATAATATAATTTTTTCGTGATGGTACAATGCATTAAATGTTTGTGTGGCTCAAGAATTGCTTTGGGATTACATCTTTGGTGTCTAAGATATGTAGTACAATTTATTTCATTTTTTTAATCAACCCAATAACTCATTTTTGAAATGATTTTGAGAAATACGAAAGCGCCTTGCCACAGTACAAAGAATTTAATGTGTGTGTGGCTCAAGGCCTGGAAAAGTCTTTTGTTTTTGATCTCTTTGAGCAAAAGTACAATTTAGAATTTAATTCTCTGTACTCCACACGTTTTGAGCCACACAACCAGACTTGCCTAATTGACCAACATTAAAGAACAGTTGTACCCATGTTGCAGCCTGCACAGGACCTGTTTCTGTACCCATGTCGCACTGACCTGACCAGTAATTGTACAGTGTTTAGGCGGGAACACTGTACAATTTTTCTCTTGGCTTTGTATAATAGAATATGTGACCCCATCTACGTTGAACATATGCACTCCACATTCCCGATCGTGTCCTTGGCTTCTGCGAGCAGATATACCATCTTCACCGCACCTCCACCTCCTTTAACACACTTGCCTCCCCTTTCTTCTCCTCCGTAATCCACCAGCGGCCAGGCCTCTTCACGTTTCTTCTTTTTGAATTTGTTTAGAGGGGCTATTTCCATCTGCAGTGGAGCGTCACCATTCTAGAGGAGCTGATTTGCCGGTGGACGAGCTAATCAATTGGAGAAGGCAAAATACTTCATCGGTGAGGTTGGCAATGCTCTCACAGCGGTACACCGGTGGAGAGGAGCTCTGACCAGTGGCGAGAAGCTCGGAGCACCATTAACATCCATTGCTCGCCTCCAACGTCATCTTTTTCTCCTTTCTTCTGCTCAGAATCTGCAGATCTTGGGCCTTGACTGTCCAAATCGGACTTCCTTCTGTCTGGAATCAGCAAATCGGACGGCGTCATTAGCTTGTAAATGTGTTAGGCTACGGATTGTAGGAGGTAGGGGCAGAAAGTAATGCTTCTTGGAGGGCAGGGCAGGATAGGTGGGTTGGGGAGGTCTGTGCGAGTGGTGGAGGGAGTGAATAGGCCTAATCGCTGATTGTGCGGGGGTTGGTCGGGATTGGGGGGCTATTGGGGGGATGGGGTGACGCATGGGAGGGGGCTGGGGTTTGGTGGTCAGAGGTGGTGTGGCCGACGACAGCGGACTGACCGGTGATGGGGCTGGGGGGCAAACATGTGGGTTGGGGAGGTTGTGCTTAGGGATATGAGTCAAGGAGTGGTTGTGATGCCGGATCTGTGGGTGGTGACGGGACAAGGGATGACACTGCTGTGGTGTCGGGTGGTGGCAACCGCCGTGGCGGCTTGCAACGGCAGAGGTGGTCGGCGGTGGTGGCACTGGTGTCACGGCAAAGGTGTCACTTTGGATGTGTCACTATCTATGGTCGGCGACGTTCATCGACCGACTTCCACCGTTGTGGTGGTGTCACTGTGGGCGGAACCATTGTGTCACTGTGGCGGCGTCACTGTGGATGGAACCATTGTGTCACTGTGGCGGCGTCACTGTGGCGACGTGTCAGTGTGGCGGCGTCACTATGGTCAGCGTCACTATGATCGAAGTACAGTGTAACTATTGTAATGTCACTTAAAGACGAGTCACATAAAAAACGATCTCTTGATCTTTCATTTTGATCGGAATTGAATCGGAAATTCTGGTTACCGGCTTGCCATTGCTTCTAAATTCTACTCCCTCAGTCTCAAATTGTAAGATACATTTATTATTCACTTGGTCAACTTAAATCACTCCTAAACTTTTATTTTATATATCAAAAGTTTATGAAGTTTGAATTAGTTTTTGCAGGTTTTGTAGTGGATTTAATGTGGTTTTTGAATATGTAAATTTTATTTTCTAGAACTAATTTGGGTGTTGACAGAGATCAATTTGTTTTATCATCAGTCAAACATCGTAAACTGAAATGTATCTTACAAA